ACAGGATGGTTATGTCAGTGATCAGTAAATGTTTTTGTTCTGATCTGTTACCACAACATCCAGATGCAGCTGCCTGTCACAGCCTAGGACAGTATGGCTGATAGCAACGATCCTGAATGATTCTGAGATGGCCTTTGCCAGTTGGACCTGGCAGTGTTGTGGCAGAGTTTCAAGGGTCTTGCATCCATATAGCATGGGGGCAGGGTCTTTCTTTCATAGCTGCACCTCTGGCACCTCTTGTTTTGGTGTCTGCAGTTGTTGAAAAGCATAGCAGTTAAGATTGGACAAGTAGATGAAGCGCCAGTCTGCGAAGTGTATGAACTTCCCATGGGGCACAAAATGGTTGCTGGATTCCTACTTTAAGGTGACCGCAAGGACTGCCCTAGTCAGGTTTTGCCACCAGGTCACCGATGTACTTAGGCTGCATAGTGTTCTTCAGGCAGGTCCTGATTCAGGGGGATGATGTTCATTCAACTGTAGTTGGGGCAGGGAACAGCAAGACCTCCAGCTCCTGTTGCTCCTTGCACCATGTCCAGTAGCAGCCAGTACACTCCCTGAGGTGCTGTGTGGCAGTATGCTTGGCTCCACATCAAGGCAAAGTTCCCACTATCTCGCTTGAACTCATCCTCCAGCAATCTCCACAGGAATATGGCTGACTCCTTGTGGGATGGCGGCCTGATGATCCTCTTCTAGGTGGTCACTTTCAGGGCACCTGTGGCAATGCTGCTGATCAAGTCATTGGGGCAGGTCAGGAGGCAGAAGGCATGGGTGACTACTCTGATGTCACAAAGATCTCCTATGCAATGGACACTGGCACCCCCCCAGCCAGCAGAGGATGTGCAGGATCTTGTTGTTGGCCCATAATGGCAGGTCCATTCAGGCATTTCCAAACTTTCAGGTGCTTGACTCTGCACCTTAAAAAAAATCCCTTTAATACTTTTGTATGTTACTGCCTACGCAGAAACAAAATTTATTGTGGGGTATCAGCTAGGTTTCCACAGACCTGGCTCAGTCTTATTTCTCTCATTAGGTGCTGAAGTGTGTTGTGTTCCATCTTGATTAAGTCTCTGAAAATCCATTAATACATCTACTTTTGTAACTTGTTGTCATCATAGCATTAAGACTAAGTCACAAAAAAGCAGTGAGGAGGAGGAAAAGCCACCCACCTTTTGTATTAACAGTTTTTCATCAACTTTAAGTAAGTGGAATAGGATTGCTCTTGGATACCTGATAGATGGAATAAGTTCAAGCACTCGATCTTCAGTGTGAATTACAATACTGACTACATAACTGAGCGCTAGAAGAAGGCTGTGGGATTGTAGCTAGATAGAGCCATGTGTCAATAGTACAATGTGGCTGCAGGTGAAGGTTTTCTTACTACCAGGTCCAAAGACCTGCTGAAAACAATGGAGGTGGCATAGGTTCTAAAAAATGGTTACAGGATATTTTATAATAGAGATTATTAGGAAAATTAAATATAGGCATTGTGACGAGCACCCCATACAATGCTATAGTCCTTCAAAATTAAATTTTATCACATACCTTAGATTCTATTAATTTCACTAACATTCTTTTCATAGTTTCATAGTTTCTAGGGTTGGAAGGGACCTGGGCAGATCATCTAGTCCGACCCCCTGCCATGGCAGGAAAGAGTACTGGGGTCAAACGACCCCAGCAA